CATTAATTTCTTCAGTCAACAGAGCTGAAAATGCATATTGATATGATTCCATTGACAGAATAGCTGGACTTCCTGTTCACGCTGGATGGATAATTGATGGACAAGTTGCTTGTCAGGAATCCATTCGGTCAGTGAGAGGCCTTTAGGTCCATGCTGACATTTAGAATGTGAACAACACGCTGACCCCTCCGCACAGCTCAATATCACTAATGATGCTCTAAGTGGCTGTTAAAGGCGGAAAGTTTGGGCCTGAATCTTAAAATGTGAAAATGAATCTGCTGTGTGTGTATGTGGGAGGAGGGGGGGGTACCTTAAATCATTAAGGTGATGACATAGTTTTAAGGTTATGGTTAAACCAGTAGTGGTTTTGGGCCTCATGCACCAACTGTTGGTAAAAATAAATTTCTTCAAACCCACTGTTCCAAAATTAAATCTGTTTTTAAGTAAGAATATAATCCATGCACACTCGAGCACATATTTGCAGGTGTGTGTATACTGCACAGCCTCTCACCTTGTCCAGGTTGTTATAAAAGTCGGTATTACCAGCACAGAGGTATCGTCCCAGCAGGGTGGCATGTGTCGTGAACACCGTTGCTATGGGAATCTTACGGGAGCGAGACAGAATAAGCCCAGGTCCTGCCTGCCACTCATGGAAATGACAAATAACATTTGGATTGTCTCCAAGGTTATCTGTCAGCTGGAAAAGAGTTGGAGAGAACCGCGGTTACTTTTCATGAGTTCATGAGCAGGGCGCGGAACATCACACTGACACGGCGGCTGACCTCTCGGAAGAACCAGGCTACCAAGGAACCCAGGATGAGTGAGTCATTGGCCTCTCGGTCATTGTAGGGCAGGCCGATGTGGCAGGTCTGCCACAGGTCACCCTTCCACCGGTCCAAGTTCCAGGCAGCAGAGCTGATGTCAAACAGGATCACATAGGGGCTGCCTTCGATTAGCCAGCGGCCAAAATGAACCTGCAGCATAAACGTAGAAAAACAATTAAAAGAGAAGTACGTTCTTTTATTTTAAAAAGAAAGAATTTCATTGTACAGAGACTGTACATATGACAATAAACGCTTTGAGCTCGGAGCTAGAACTTCAAAATCAACTGGTCTTGTTCTCATTTGAATTGAAAGACCACGCTCATGAATAAAGATTCAAATAAACATATAATTCTTGCTGAACATAGAGATTGGAAGAAGGAAACAATGCTTTGGAATGTACAGGCTAGGCCAGTGGTCACCAACCTTTTCCAGTTTAAGATCTCTTTTTAATTCTAAACCTAAACTGAGATCTACCACCCTGATATCTTACAAAAAAAACATTTCGCAGGGTCATATTTTTCTACAAAGAAACTTTTGCTTACCATCCACTTTACTCTGAAATCAAGTTCCAATGACTTGGAATTAATTCAGGTTAATTGGCCCAGAAGTGCAACGGCTCCAACATGTGTCATTACAATGCATTGCCCGTGAGCTTGTCTATTTTCGTCAACATGGAGGAATGACAGAGCATGACGCTCGATTCCTACTTGAACAATCGTCAATACTGTCTGCCAAGATGGCTACTGTGTGAAAGGTTTAGACTTTGTGGCTCGTTGGTCTAGGAGTATGATTCTCGCTTAGGGTGCGAGAGGTCCCGGGTGCAAATCCCGGACGAGCCCTTTACCACATTGACTTCAACCTCTCCCTCAGAGACAGACTGTCCACGTGGATGTAAAACTCAGTTCCTATTAATTGACCTATGATTACAATTGGGTTCAACTCTGTGGATAAAATCAAGACTCCCCAATGGTTAATACTGAAAACAGGGAGACAAAAAAAAAGTCTCAAGTAAAATAAGTCAGACTAGAAATGAATTGGAAATCACAGTGTACGGCCTGTAGAAATTTACTGTTGCTTAGTATAGACAGTTAGCAAGCGAGAACAGTATGCTGATTTTTATCAATGACAAGCCATGATGTTTGATTCCTGCTTGAACAATCACCAATGTGGGTACAAAGGGAAAGTGTTGACTTGTGTGGCTCGTTGGTCTAGGAGTATGATTCTCGCTTCGGGTGCGAGAGGTCCCGGGTTCAAATCCCGGACGAGCCCTTTACCACAGCGACTCTAACCTTTCCCCACCAAAGATGGGCTGTCAATGGGTGCTGACATAATTTATAATTGATTCAAGCTTGATATTAATTAGCCTAGAGGTATGATGCTACGTTAGGCTGTGAGAGAATGTGTCCTCAAAGATGGACTGCCCATGTCATTGTCAAACTCAGTTCCATATTGAGATTGAGCTGTTAACTCATGTTGACTGAACTAAACTCTACAGCTCAATGAGCAGACAAATCTTAATCAAAGTAGTCACTCTATAGATTCACAACATGGTTTCAAAAATAAAAAAGGTGTTATTGCATGTTTTCTCAACTACACTTTACAAATCTAGAGGGACTCCCTTACAAAAATAAGTCTTGCTTATAATGTTGTAACTGTATATTAAATGCCTTGAGCTAATTTATGTTGTAGTGCTATCCAAATAGAATTGAGTTGAATTTTTTTTTTTTAATTTGGCAGTGTTGGCTGTAAATATAAAAGTTCATCATACCTATGATGCATCAAATTTAAAAACTTTTAAGTACAACTGAAGCCACTTTTTCAGCCGATAACTCACAAGGTTGCAGGTTTTCGCTGTAGCAGACCTGTCAATTACCCAAAGCATGTGTCTCACAGAATATGTTTTTCAGCCGTTCACACAAACACATTCATTCACTGATGGGACATTATCAGGAGCAGTTTAAGGGTTCAGCATCCAACCATAGCGGCCTCATAAGTATCCATACATATAGATATCAGATAACCCTAACCCTGCACATATTGGATCACAGGTCCCTTCCCTGGATCATCAAGGTCTCTGGTGTGTGACTGCCATCTAGTGGTTGATGATCTGTGGGTCGAGCTAGACAACACTGTTCTCTTCACTGACATGATGTCACACAGGGAAACTACACAGTCTGCAGCGACATGGTTCGGTTGGTAGGAATAAGGTAAATATAACAGTTAAATGAGTAACACAACATTTTATTTTGAACAACATAAACCGCTAATATTTATACTGCATACATGTAAATATATATATTGTTTTAATATTACTGCCCTCTAAGACTTTTTTTTAATTTGCACAAAGGTATTTACTCAAGGACATTTGTTGAGAGACACACACACACACACACACACACACACACACACCACATACCTGGCAGTCGTTCTGGATGAGAGCATCCATGGCCTTCCTGATGGCTGGGTTGGGCGGCTCACAGGCCTCCACCTGGGTCTGGAAGTTTTGTTCGAAGTACGGCCCGATCATGTAATAGTTCTCCCCCCATTCATCCGCTGTGATCTTCGCCTTGGTCTGGATCACTGTGTAGATTCCTCCAACTGTAGGTCCACACAAGTCACATGTCTGTCACTCTTTTCTTCCTTTAATTCAAATATCATGAACAAAGATGAAGCTCTAGCACTGTTCCATCTCATTGTCCCAGTGAGGGTCAAAGGTCACCGGATTTATGGGTTATGATTCCTCAGTAAACTTTTTAGGTGCTTGACTTGTCATTAACAACCTTGACTTTCTTCAAAATTTAATACAAACCTTCAATGCAGCAGAAAAGATTTGTGATCTGTGCATCAACACAATCCTGTCTATCAAAGTCATGCCTTGGTTTTTATTCTGATTTACATTGTCAGCAGTGAGAACCCTATATCAACAGGTGGTGTTTTTCTTTCCAAACTATATACAATAAACTAACTCAAATTTTAAAGGCCATAGCATAATAAAATGTTAATATGAGCATTAGGGGCTCTGGAGTACTGTGCATGTATTTCCAGGATGATAATTCATTTCAGGAAAAAAGTGAAACACATACATCTCTTCATTTTCATTTAGCATTACATGCTGATTATCCCTTGAAGTGGTAAAAAATCACTAATTTGATTTTTAAATTGATTTGATTTTAATGTACATTTAAAAAAATGCATGTACTGCTACGTCCATCAAACCAACTAACTTTAACAAACAACTGAAAAAGACCACATGTCTCTGCCAGGTCCTTAAGAGAACACAATTCAGTGTTTATCCATTGTTTTAAATGTAAATATTCACTCTGAATATTCACATGGTTTCCTAGTACTCGTCACCTGGTTCTTACTGCAGTATTTTGTGTGGTTTGTTGGATGATGTGTCAGAATCCTTTATTTTGTAACAGACTAAAACACGTGGAAGTGTTTTGACCAGACTTGGCAAGCAAAAGACAAATATTGATATGAGAGAGCATCGCCTGTTTCTGAGCTCATAGTGACGTCCAAACTGCATCAGAGAGCGGTGGTTATATAAAAGGAGAGGGCAGAGAAAACAGCACAATGACCCATAAACTCTCAACTGTTCGACAACACGACCACGTGATGCATCAGAAACAATGCAACTCTACATTTGCTTTCGAGACGCTGAACTCTATGCACTCTGTAAAACATTGATTTCATAGGTGCAGTCATCTGTAGCAATAGCTACCAATGATTGTGAATCTTTTTGGATACCGATTGTTTCTTAAGTCCAAACATTGAAATATTAGCTTTTAATTTTAGCAGAAAAAAGGTTAAACAAGCCAGTGGTTTCAGTTTGTGCTGCGCATTCCCAGAAATCTGAAAAATGGCGTTTATGGGGATAAGTCATTGTCATTCTAAGATTGAATGAATTTGCCTATGTTTGATTATACAGAAGAAACATTCAAATCCATCAGTCAAAGCAATGGACGGCCCTCTTTCATTGCTTATCTGCAGTTTAATGTTTAACTCCTCACAGGGAGGAGACTGAGTCCACTTTCAGCAGATTTCAATATTTGCTCTTTGAGGGGCAAAGTTTTACACAAAATATTATCAATACAGCTCAGTACTGTAGCACTGACATGTTTTACTTCCAAATGCTCTGTATGGAATCACTTCCTGTCAATCCAAAAATAATTGTCCAACTAAATAAAGGTGATACATTTTAAAATAAATAGGCTGTGTGTAATAAATATCATGAAATGCTTTGGACTGCTCTGTGCGGACGAACACATTCTCACTGTATGGATGCATCAATTGGAATATGTGTCTCATTTCGTTTTGGAATATAAAGAATCAATCGTGACACAACACTTGTGATGATTCAGAGTCACTGATGTCTGGTCAGACTTACTTTTGTTGGTGACCTCCCAGGCCACCTCAAAGAGCAGCAGGTCCTCCACGGGCAGCTCATCTTCTTCCCAGGACGGCAGCACCCCACTCAGGGACGTCATGGACAAGGAGCGAGACAGTGGCATCGTGAAACTCGAGGAGGCACAACAGGGAGCAGCTGGAATGTGGAGCAGATGTGCGGCGGTCTGAAGAGGAATTCTTCATACAGCCCTGCGAGTGAAGGTCCTGAGCTCGGCAGGGACAGTCCACCAGGACACAGCAGGAAGGACAAGAGCTTCCACCACCACGCCTACTGAGGCTGACCCTCCACACATAGGCACACACACAACACACCAGGGTGAAAGGTGAGGTGGAGTGATGAACCGAAAGGGATTGGGAAAGCCAGTGTCCTGCGTACAGAGTGAGGTACTCCCCAATTAAAGAAAGTGGTAGCTTGTATCCATTCATGTATCTAAGCATCACTCATGCAGTGTTGGATACTTTAATCGTATCATAGTTTTTTTTTCATGGTCTCATTCCTTTTTGTCCATTTGACAGGGAATCTTCGTAGATAGCAAAATAAGTATTGTTGTTTTTATTTTATTATTATAAATAGTAATAATTAAAACGATAAATGTACTTGAATGATAAGAAGCCATACAATTAACATAAAGTGTTGAGTGTAGAAAATCAATGGAAAATAAGATGGAAATTGAACAACAACAAGAACAAGAAAAACGTGAGATTAAATCAGAGCCTGTAAAAACACCACACTAGTGATAAATTGCGGTTAAGATGGAAGACACATACATTTTGAAATTGTACATAAAAGCCAGTCAAATAAAACATTATGAAGGAAAAATAAATGCAGCAGTCTGAGGTAATTAAATGCTAAAGTCAACAGTTAAATTTGTTATAATTGAACACACATTATCATACACTAAATGTTAATTTAATTTATTTTTGCCATGAAACTATACGCAACCTGCATAATAATAAATATTTGACACACAGAGATTTAGACAAGATATCGACTGTGAGGGAGAGAGAGTGAGAAGGGGGTGCACGTTTCACCAACACGGTATGCGCACGTTTTGTTTACCTTCACTGTACACACTGCACTCTCATTGATCGCTCGGGGGGTTGTCAAGACTGTTGTGCAACAATGTCCCAACACCTGCACCAGAGCAAAAATCACATGAGCACGAATTGGAAACACTAAAGTTAAATATCAGGATTAAAATAGAATATTCTCTTTCCCTGTGGTTTTGTCTTTTCTCCATGAATGAATCTTTCAGTCAGACTGTGGCCCATGAAGTAGAGCTGTGCGTCCCCCTGGTGAAGTCTGCAAACACACAACTGTACACAAACACACATCTGTACAACATGCAGCGGCTGCAGCGTCATCAACGTCGCCGTGTGTACTTTGTGCCTGCATGGAAACACACTGAGGTAATACACATGTGGATGTCTTGACCGAAGTGGTGGAAAGTAACTAACTACATTAATCAGGCCCTGTGAGATGCCTGTACTTCAATTTCATACTAATTTATTCTCCCATTACATCACATTTCAAGAGGGCTTACCCAACAAACTCCATTTGTTTTTCTGCTATAGTAACTAGCTACTTATAAAACTCAAGTTTTACATTAAATTTAATAAATGGGGTTCTTATAAAATTCAATGCAGGTAGTTACCACCTCTTTTTCACTTGTGACCTCTTTTAAAAAAGCAGTGGGTTTCCCAGTGGGGCCTCCTGTCAATCAGTTACAGAGGCCACGTTTACTTATGATACTTGAGTACCTTTTTACATTATGGTATTGCTACTTTTACCTAATACTGGAAGTAATAGTACCTCCATCGCATGCGGGTCTGGCTAGAGTGGCCGTCCTCAGAAAGTCAGTGGTTAGATCCCGGTCTCTAATCTGTATGCCGAAGTTTTCTTGGGGAAGATACAGAACAGTGAATTGCCCCTCAGAAAAAATGCTGCCCATGGATGTAAGAATGTGTGTGAATGGGTGAATGTCAATAAATCTGTACTGTAAAGTGCTTTGAGTGGTCATCAAGACTAGAAAAGCTTTATATAAATAGAGACCATTTATCACTGCCTCGCTGGGTAGAGTAGAATTACACTACAGTCTTCCTGAAGCAACCTAGTCCCCTGTTGGCCAAAGCACAGCCCAGTCTGAATAATTACGCATCAAGCCCTCTCAGTCCTGTTCCTGTCTGTCATTTGATTTAAAAGTGTTCACCACCTTTCCATTTTCCTACATGCAGCAACATATCATATCTGAATGAATGATCTGGGCAGCAAACATTTCCCAGAAGAGGCGATGAATGATGCATTTCAGCACCACGGACGGCGGAGAGCTCCGCAATTTACAGTATAGAGACGCAGGTGGCTGTGATTGGCTGGGAGCAGGAGGAGGCCCGGGGTCACCTGGTGGAGACATAAAACAGGTCTGAATGGAGGGAAAGGCTTAGTATCTGCCGAGTGGGTGAACATTAACACACAGAGGCAGGATCCGAATGTCGTGTTCACAGATGAGACTCGTGGCTCTGGCTGTGGTGTGTGGCCTGATCGTCGGCCAGGATGCAGGGAGTGAGGGGGAAGCTCGGCCAGGATATGGCTCGGCACAAAGGACACAAGCAACAGGTGAGCCGCCTGAAAAGTTCTTTGTGCATTTTTCTGTATTTTATCTGTTCTAGACAATAAGAGAACAATTTGTTTTGCTCCAACAATGGACATAGTAATCGGACACACTTTTATACTTCCAGTCCACGTCAGCTCAGAAGTGGAAGATTTGGCCTTTTCATATGTCAGTGTTCAGTTAAAATGTTCTTAACATTAAAATCATAAACAGTGTAGAAAACAATTGAAATCAACAAATCAATCTATATCGATTTTTTGCTTACACATTATGTATCAATCATTACATAATCAATCATTTCATTCAGAGAATGAAATAGCTTATATTTGTTTGCATCATAGCACAGAAGTACACTTCCCCCACTATGTAATAGTCATTCCGGTACTATTTTATAAAAACATGAATATATCTTTAAAATATGAGACAGAACAGACCAGATGTTACAGCAGCAGTAATATGTATATTCTGGTATTCTAAAGATATATCTTTCTTATAAGAAAAAAAAAAAGAAGAAGAGTGGCTCGTCCACTGAAGTTCCTGATGCCTGTGCCAGCAGTCTGTGAGTGATGTGTGATCAATCAATAAAGAGCTTAGATTAACGAGGGGTTTGCAAAAACAATATTAAACAGTCAGTATCCTGGTCCTGCATTTTTATTTAAAGAATTCAACAAAAAATAAATCATGTGAAAAATGTAACAAGCCCTAAAATAAGGAAATAGCATAAAGCCCCTAATATAATACATTTTAAAAGTCCCTTTGGCTATTTTATGTAAAGATATAATTGTAAACAAATGTATTAGAGCATATTTCTTTATTAATAAACTGCATTACTATTTCAGTGACTCAAACATTTACCGCATCCATGATGTCACTGATGTCTATCAGGAGCAGAAGATCACAGATGATTTCTAAGATTTCCACTCAAAGCTCTTTACAGTACAGTTTCACCCAATGACTCACTAATGTCCTCCATCAGTGGACTGATGTCTCTGTCTGTCTCCTCAGGATCTGTCCTCTCTGCGCTCAGGAGGAGGACTGAGGCCGACCTGGTGGAGGAGCCCAGCCTGTGTCTCTCCCTGAGGGAGAACGAGGAGCAGAAGCAGCTGCTGTGCAACGACCGCAGGAGTAAATTCAACTACAACCCGTTAACCCTTCGCTTTGGGAAACGCTACATGTACAGGAGGGCAGTCAAAAGAGCCCGGACAAATAATTTCTTCCCCCTTTCTCTGTTCCCACGAGAACTGGAGGTGCCCACCTGAGAGAGATGAGTCTTTTCCGTATGTGTGTACAAGATCTCATCATGTTCCCCTGAATAAAACTTTTATACCCAGCTTTACTGTGAAAGGACTTTGACATTTACAACAATGGAAGAAAAAATACTGAAATAAAATGAAACTACAAAAAATATGAAAAGGACAAAATCATTTTGTGCAATGGTTTCTCGTGAAGGTACAGTTTGTAGAATTGAGTGATATCTAGTGTTGAAATTACATTTTGCAGCTGAACACCCCTCACCTCACCATCTCCTTCCAAACATGGCTTTAATTGTCGTAAAACTCAAAAGGTGTTTAGTTTGTCCAGTCTGGACTAATGTAAAAAACATGTCGGCCTCCGTAGAGAGGGTCCCATTCGATGTAAATATAAAGTATTTAAATATAAAGGGCCTTTTCTGGGGTAAAGAAAACTACAATTCATACAATTTAGATGAAACGAACTAGTGAAAACATCATGAGGATTATTCTACATTAAATTTCTGCCAATAGTTCATTTTCACCTAAATCTTACACACTGGACCTTTTATCACCTCAGTAGGTGTAGTAAGAAATCTGAATAAAACAAACTGACTTTCTGAAGTTGCTCAATCAAACCACTGTGTGTCACTGTGTTGCCTTTCAGCAGCTGGATTCCTGGATTGTAGCGTTTCTGGGTTCATTACTAGTCCACAAATGAGAAATAAAATGGAACGGACAGAGAAAATAAACTATATATAATATTAAATAAACAAGAAATAAATGTAAAGTTACATTTATTCATCTTGGCGCAAAAAAAAACCAAAAGAGAGCCTATTCATTTTCTGTTTGTGATTCATCATTTATGTAAAAGTTAAAAAAAACATTTTCTCTCTGTGACATTTACCCATTAAGATCATGAGCCTCATTATAGTAGATGGTAGTTTCAATTCAATTCATTCATTCAGTTCCTGTAAATCAAATACTCAGAGATGGTAACACTTGATAATCAGATATCATTTCCCGAAATGTATCTATGAATGAATCCCGAGGATATCAGTAAAATGTCAAAATATTAAAGGCAGACAATAAATCCTGGATCTGCCTCCTGATCCGGATCTGCACATACATTTAATGGGTTTTTGTGAAATGGATACTATCCATTTGAAAACACTGTATTAGCAACTTTTAACCCAGATAGCAGTGTGTATTTCTCATTTACTGGACAAATGAATCTTGTTACAGGTTTGCATCACTATAAAAAGCTTTGTTTTTCCAGAATAAAACACTTACACACACACACAGGGCACTTTGAATGATGTTCAGTTTATTAAGTTACACGTCGTGGTTTCCAACACACAAGGTCAGACAGTCAGAAAACGTTTTTCGAGAAAAAAACCCTCAACATGAGCTTGACATCACCGCTCCTCCTCTGCAGCTCTGTTTGCTTAAAACAAGGGGGAGAGATTAACCTTCACACTCATAATGAGCTAATTGTGCAGTCGCCTGTCTGCTCTACCACTTTCCCAGTTTCAGGTGAGGGCAGCAGGGGAGCAGTGTGCTTTTTGGACGTGAAGGGTCTTTCTCTGATCAACTAAGCGGTGGAGGAGGACGCTTGTGAGGATTGTGCTTGATCCTGGTCTAAAACAGCTGAAACACAAGAATCCATTCGGAGTACAACAACGGAGGTCGGCTTACATCTCCTAACACCAACACACAAACACCAACTACGAGCTGTTTGGGAGCAAATGTGCTTATTATAGTGTTTTTTCGGGCTTTAAAACACTGATATCATCCTTTAAAGAGAGCAACACGGTCTAAGAGAGAGAGGGGGCGTTATGAAGGAGTGTGTGCGTGTCAGCTGGCCTCAGCACCACTGTGTGTGTGTGTGTGTGGGCAGGGAGGTTCAAACGTCTTTGAGGTCCTTCTGGATGCCCCACAGCGTGTCGGCGCTCTTCCTCAGCTGGCCCACCTCATCGTCCGTCAGGGTCATGTTGACGACGCTGCTCACGCCGGCGCTGTTCAGGACGCAGGGCAGAGACAGGAAGACCTCCTCGTCGATACCGTACATGTCCTGAGGAAACACACGGCGGCGCGGTTAGGTGAGGAGGACGTCAGATGTTGACACTATATATAGACATATTACTGCATGGGGGTGAGAAGTGCCAGGCACAGTGTTGAAGGAGTATTTGGGTCGTTTCTGAGAGGAAGACAAGAAGATGAAGGAGTCCGAAAAGAAGTTAGAACTAATTTAAGCTCTAAAATAATTTTAATTTTAAAACATGAAAAAGGGAAAACTGAAGAAGCAGAAGAAAATTCTTTGCAAAACACAAAACAAACAAAATCTGCAGCCTCACAACAAGCACAACTCCTCTAACCCCCCCCCCCCCCCC